TCTTTATGTGTTTTCTACGGATGCATACTTAGTAAGCATATCTAGGATTCTAATGCTATGAATATGTGTGTGCCTGCCCTTGTCAAATGAGGACCTACATATGTCCTAGAGTAGTACTTGTTAATTGCGATTAACATGTGAACCAATTTCTAGGATAAGTAAGACAACGCCAGTACTTACGATGCCTTGTGATGACTCAAACTCTTTTCGTTCTTAATGATTTCTACTTGTTAAATCTATGAACACGCCATTCTAGATTTCATGCTAGGGACTAAGTTAAGTTGAAAACACCATTCTCTTAACATACTACATAAGAAAGAGTAATAGGTTGAGTTCTAACATTGAGCCAACTTGAGCATCTTCATCCAGAAATAGAAGGAATTTGAATGAAACATAACATGTTTGCATGATTATTTGGTGGTGGATAACAATTCCCCTAACTCGTTTTTCTTAATTTGCGAACTACTTAAAATTTATTTTTGTCCTGTTTATGTTCGATTTAATTTAAATAGCAAATCAACTCCAAAAATCCCAAAAATTTGTATGAGTGTAGCTCTGTGTGTCCAGTATCTGTATATAAAATTTTGTAGACTTTAGATAAGTGTAAGTCTATCTAATAATTATTTTTCGGTGGCTGGTCATTAGGGACAGCAGCCTAGTTTTTTGTGACATTTTAAGTAGTTAGATAAAACAATCTTCTGCGGGAAAGACCCTTATTTTCATATGCTACAATTGACAAATATTAGTGTTAATGAGGAAAATCAATAGGAGATTTGTGTGCTACTTTGTGGTGTGCTTTTAATCCTATCATTACCACCTTCTATGAAGGACAAGCTTTGTAAATTGCTTCATGAATTTAAAGATTGTTTCGTGTGGAGTTATCATGAGATGCCAGGCCTTGATCGAAACCTCGTCGAACATGAGTTACGCATCAAAGAAGGGTGTAAGCCTTTCCGACAACCCCCACGCCGGTTCTCGACCGAAGTACAACTCGGCATAAAGGACGAATTAGTTCGGCTTCTGAAAGCCGGGTTTATTTGGACCGCCCGGTACGTCAAATGGTTGGCCAATATCGTCCCGGTGTTAAAGAAAAGTGGAAGCCTCTGCATTTGCATCGATTTTCGCAACTTAAATCTAGCCACTCCCAAGGATGAATATACAATGCCAATCTCAGATTTACTAATTGATGCCGCTGCCAACATGAAATGATGTCCTTCATGGACGGCTATGCCGGTTATAACCAAATCTTTATCACTAAGGCTGACGTCCACAAGACTGTCTTCCTTTGCCCGGGGGCACTCAGTACCTACGAATAGGTTGTCATGTTATTTGGCCTCAAGAACGCTGGCACCACGTACCAGCTAGCCATGAATACGATATTCCACGACTTGATAGGTATGGTCGTAAAAGTTTATATCGATGATGTGGTGGTGAAATCGAAAAGCTGCCAAATATACCTGGATGATCTTCGACAAGCATTCCTCCACATACGCCAGCATAATCTAAAAATGAACCCAGCCAAATACGCTTTCGGAATGTCGGTCGGTAATTTTTTAGGGTTTTTAGTGCACCATCGCGACATTGAAGTCAACGAAAATAAAGCTTGAGCAATCGTTAGCACTCCACCCCCGACAACCAAGAAGCAACTCCAGTCATTGCTCGGGAAGATAAATTTTCTCCGCCGTTTCATCGCTAATTCGGCAGGCAAAATGAAAGCATTCTCTATGCTCCTCAAACTTAAGGATTCCGACAAATTTGAGTGGCGCGAAGAAAACCAAACGACTTTTACGCAAATCAAGGTGTCCTTTTCCACGCTACCAGTACTAGTTCCACCTTGTCGCGGTAAACCTCTCAAACTATACATTTCGGCAACCGTCAAATCCATCGGTTGTCTCGTCATGCAAGATAACAATGTTGGGCATGAACAAGCTATCTTTTACCTCAGCCATAATCTGAATTCACCAGAGCTCAATTATTCACTCGTCGAAAAACTTTGCTTAGCTCTGTTTTTTGCCGCATCAAAACTTCGGCACTACATACTCCCATCAGTCACGCAGGTCATTGCCCAAACAGATGTTATTCGTTACATGCTCACTCGGCCTATCATCAAAGGCCGAATTGGGAAATGGACGATCGCTTTATCAGAATTCAGTTTGCAGTACGTACCCCAAAAGGCCGTCAAGGGCCAAGCTCTCACTGATTTTTTGGCCCAACACCCTTCTCCTTATGGCTTTAGGGGCAGCGATGTCGACATCGGCTTAATCACAACACGCGATAGCCACTGGACGATGTATTTCGATGGTTCCAGTACCTCGACCTCGACTGGTGTTGGCATTGCCATTCAGTCGCCCGACCACTACCGCTGGTATTTTTCTCTCAAGTTAGATTTCGGTTGTACGAATAATCAAGCTGAGTACGAAGGTCTTATGATCGGCCTTCATGTTTTACATGATTTAAGAGCAACTCGTGTTCTCATCCTTGGTGATTCTGAACTGATGATTAACCAACTCAATGGCGTTTTTCGTTGCATGAATTGTACTTTGAATGGATTACATTTGAGCACATTTCGCGTATTCGAAACATTGACGCCGATGAACTCGCCCAAATCACCTCCGGAGCACAACTCACGGGGGGCAAGCTAGGCCGAGTAACACCCACAGTCCTGCGATCGTACCCAGCCTTGGTCAATCGGCAAATTCTCCAGCGCAATCACGTGATACGCATGAGGGTGATGTCGTTACCATAGTTACTGGAGTGGGGAAACCCCGTAGAAGTATGTGCCATCGAGACGTTACCGAACGATTGGAGAAAGACGATTCTACGATATCTCGATAACCCCAATGGGAAACATGACCGGAGAACGAGGGTCCACGCAACGAATTACGTGTCATACCAAAATGAATTATACCGAAAGGGTGAGGATGTGCTGCTATTACTTTGCCTCAGCCCACAGGAGGCTGTACGGGCAATAGCCGAAATACATGAAGGAATTTGTGGATCTCACCAATCAGGACGCAAAATGCGTTGGTTGCTCCGACGACACAGCTACTTTTGGCCAAGTATATTAAAGGATTGCATCGAATACGCACGGGGATGCATGATAGGAGCATATTTATGCTACTTAGTTATGTTGTTTCCTTGCATTTAGTTACTTAATTACTATCTATTTTAGTCTTTTAAGCTATTTTCGTACGTTTTTAGGTCCTAATGGCAAAAGGAGCAAGAAAGTGCATTTTGAGGCTATTTGGAGCAGTTTTGGGCATGGATTGGATAGCTTAACTATGGAGCAATGTGGATGGACGAAATTGAAGTCAAGAGATGCTAGGAAAGGCTAAAAATCTGGAGAAAGAAGTCCAAATGCAAAGAAGATAAGGAAAGAGCAAGAAATAAGGAACCTTATCCAAATTTCCTTATCTTATGCAAACCTTATCCAACATTATCTTATCTTATCCTATCCTAATCTTTTCCTACCTTAATTCCAACTTCAAAGAGGACTCATTTTCACATTAAATCACCTAAATATCAAGTTCTAGAAGCCCTATTTTTGTGCATTAAGTTTATGCCACATGTAACCCTTCTAGAAGTTCTAGAATCTGCCACAAGGACCATTCCTTGTCCTCCTTGGAATCTGATTGAAAGTATCCTTGTTCTTTGGTGATTTGGAGTCCTAATTCCTCTCTTTTCAGCCCAAATTCGTGCCTCCCCTTCACCCTATAAATACTTGATGCCACAACACTCAAAAACCACCACCCTCTACCACAAATTCACACCACACCTCAAGAGCCTAAATTCACACAAATCCCCATTGTTGGCAGCAAGGAAGGAAGGAGGAGCCACCTGGAGTGTTTCTAGGTGTATTCAATCTTTGTTTTCAATGTTTAATTTATATTCTCTTTGTTTTGTTGTAAACATGAGGAACTAATTTTGTTTTGGCTAGGGGAGACTTTGAAACCATGATTATATTTGCAATATGAATTGATTAATTCCAGTTGTGATTTCATAAATTGTGAATGCAATTTACTTAACCGTTTGATGGATAACTTATTCTTGTTTGTTGTGCACACTTAATTTGCATGCTTGAATTTGGTGCTAGAATATAAGGGAGTTTCACATAATCGTTACAAACTTATGTTCACAAGTAGTTAAGGTTGTTTTCACAATCATGTTAAGTAAATTCCTAGGATAAGTATCATGATGTCATAGTTACAAGTGCTTTGTCAATACTTATGATTTTCATAGAACGTAAAGATCTTTGATTGTATCTCTATTATGATGTCATGTAGGGAACTTTTGAAGAATGCTTCGGGTTGTCGTATGATGTCATCCAATCCAACAACTAAAGGAAAATCTGAGGGTTAATTAGTGATGTCATGGTTAATCTGGGGTGTTGAGGTTCATGGTTTATCGACAAAGCAACTGGAAATCAATTTGTGTTTGAATGTATCATGTGTGGAAAAGTATCCTCTAGCTATCTAATCATCCATCATTTTTCCCAAATTCGTCCAAATCCTATTTAAGTCTTTTAGTTACTTGGTTTTATCTTAAATTCGTCAAAAATCCAATCCCCTTTATTTAGTTGTGTCAAATCTGTCCTAATTAGTGTTTTTGAGTGTTTTGAGTCAAAACCAATTCTATTTTCGTCCAAATTGAGTCCTAGAGTCTAGTTTGAGTCTTTTTGATTGTTTTGTGTTGTTTTGAGTCTTTTAAGTTTGTTTTGAGTCATATAAGTTTAGTTGAGAGTCTTTGAGTTTGTTTAAGTGTTTTTAAGCATATTTTTGTATCTTTGAGTCAGTTTTCAGTAGATTAGCATCCCTTCTAATCCCTGGCCTAAAACGATCCCTACTTATATCTATACTACAATTGTCAAAAAGAGGGTTTAATTTGTGTGCTATTATATATCACATCAATGCATACCATGCCAGATTCATGGACCAGTGCAGAGAGACCCGGCCGAATTACTCCACTCAGTTACTAAACCATGGCCGTTCAGAGGATGGGCAATGGACGTAATCGGTAAAATCACACCATCATGGGGAGCGGAAAAACACGCGTGGATAATAGTGGCAACTGATTACTTCACTAAGTGGGTCGAGGCAAAATCATACGCCGAATTAACAGCCAAAGAAGTTTGCAGTTTTGTAGAGGAAAATATTGTGACCAGATTCAGCGTGTCAGAAATGATCATAACTAACAATGGCACAATCTTCACGGCCAACAGGTTTAGGGAATACATGGCAAGTCTGAATATCCGACTCGAGCAGTCTACGCCGTATTACCCACAAGTGAACAGGCAGGCTGAAGCAAGGAATAAGGTATTAATCGGCATTCTTGAAAAAACGGTAAGAAAGAGGCCTAGAATGTCGCATTTAAAGTTAAACGAAGCATTATGGGCCTACCGAACTTCCCTCTAGTCCGCCACCGGAACAACTCCCTATGCGTTAACCTACGGACACGACGCTATATTACTAGCCGAGCTAAGTATAAACTCATTACGAGTGATTGAGCAGAGTAGTTTGCGTAGTGCTGAATATAGTCAAGCTATGCGACAAGAGTTAGAAGACTTGGAAGAAATTTGGATCGACGCGTGTAATTTATTAATAGCACAGAAGAAAATTGTCGAGCGAGCTCATAATCAACGCGACAGACAAAAAACGTTCAGCGAAGGAGAATTGGTTCGGCAGACTGTGTTGCCTGTAGGGATTAAAGACCCCAGGTTCGGCAAATGGTCATCAAATTGGGAAGGACCATTCATCATCCATAAAGTTCTCGGCAAGGGGGCATATCATCTTAGAGACCAGACCGGTTTAATTCACAAATTGCTGATTAATGGGAAATTTTTAAAGAAGTACTATCTAGTCACGTGGGAAATGCAAGAATGAATATCGTCGTATTAAATTCATAAAAAGGGCGAACAGATACATTCAAAAGGTTCCTAAAAATTCTAAGGGGTCGAAGGGAGGAAAGTCTCGAGAGCAACCTTCAACTCCAGCCACCTTACTTCGCTCAAAATTATCTTAGCTTGCCTCGTCTTCTTATTAGGTTGCAGTTGCTGGATGTGTTTACGCCGGCAGCGAAGGTCGTAAGCCGAACGTTATTCGCATCAAAGTCCCTCTCAAGCTCTGAAGCAGCAACTGACCTTTGCTGTTGAAGCTCAGCAATTTGACGCTGAAGCTAAAAAATCCGGCGATCAAACTCGGTCAGCTGTGCCTTCTTCGCTTTTATAGCTTCCACCTCTGCCCGGCTAGCCTCATGCGCAATCTTGGCCACCTTCAGGTCGTCCTCGGCCCGTAAAGCTTGTTAAAAAGTAGTGAAGTCTTGCCGAGTCCGCTTAAGAAGGTTAGTCAGATAAGCAATATTCTTCGTGCTTAGAAAACCAGCATTTGCAAGGTCATTCAGGCACTCCCCAACGGAGTAAAGAGCCTTGCATTAGAGGACCTGAGAGGCAGAGAGAGACAGAAGCTCCTACAGCCTAACAAAAGCTGGGGCCTCGACCATGGCCTCCATTGGTTCGGCAGGGGTAGCAGAGGAACCGATCGCGCCAATAGTGCTCTGAAGAAAAGCATCGAGCTCGACCTCCCACGAAGGCTGCACAAAGAGGAAAATTGGTAAGCAAAAGGAAAATTAGATGAAATGCATAACAGAGGGAATGTGTCTCTAGACCTGCCAGAAGGAGACCTCGGCCATGTCCTCTGGTTCATTGCTGGAACCTAGAAAACTTAATGGCCAAGCCTGGTGCTTAAGACCGCTTCTCAATTCACACGGCCGATGGAGGTTATTTGCATTTGATGGCCACTGAGGTGGCCAGGAAATATAGACAACACCCTTCGGCGCATAAAATTGTCGGTGAAATGAACGTTCGGGCACCTGACATGTAATATTTTCCTGAGTTTAGATACGTCATGATAAAATTAATAAAAAAATGAGAATGAGCCTTACAAAGGCCGAGGTAACTTCTTGTGGAGGAATGTTAAGGTCTTCATCTTGTGGATGAAGCGGTGTTTCGGCCATCGCCTCAGGCTGAACCAGGGGCCTCTTCCCATGGTCAACCATAGGAGGGTCCGGTTGGACAGCCGCCTCGACCACAAGAGGAGGATTGACGGAAGAAAGGTTGGTTGGTTGAGGATGGCGCTTCAGCGAAATTTGGTCGCTCTTGTCGCTCTCATCATCCTGAAATAAAAAGCTATTACAACTTGAAAATCGAATAAACGAAGATCATTAGCAATCGAATCATACCTTTTCCAGAACAATCGTCGATCGCTGGATAGGGAATGCCTCGATAGGTACGGCCGTCTCCAAGACAGGCGCAATGATCGGCTCTGAAGCCACAGCTAGAGCCGCAGTCGGTTCGGTCATAACCCCAATCGTCGGTACAGTCGGGGGTAGTTGGTCCACCGAGGCCTGGACAACTGGGACGGGAGGAGAGTTGACAGAAGCGATCGCTTCCGTGTTTTGGCTGGAGATAACATGAATATCCCGTTCCCCTTTTTTCACCAATTTCTTGACGCGTTTCGAAGGGCGAGGAGCGTCATCTCCAGTCTCGGTGCCCTTATGGGGTCGCTTGGTCGGCAGGGTTCGCCCGGTGGTTTTAATCTTCTTCGAGGAGGGGATCGACTTTTTCTTGGCCACCGCCGTGGCGACCACGTCAGCTTTCTTCAACGACTGACCATCTGAGAAAACAAGATCACATTAGAAAAGGGGTAGTGACAATTGAAGAAATAAATAAAAGAAAGGGTATCATCTACCTCGGGTCGGTTCTTTGGATTGAGAGCCAGGGATTCTCCTCGGTCGATCACCAAAAAGTTTGTCGGTGATGGTTTCGACCGCAGCCCTAAAGAAGGCTCCATTGTATTCTTCCCACCAATCACTGAAGGTGTTTGTGCCGAGAGATTCAGGGAGAGCTGGTCGGAGGCGAAATGTTTTGTACCGATCTTGAAACTCTTTCTCGGAATCTCTACACTCCCTTTTCGATGAGCCAGAAAGGCGCTCTCGGTTAAGGAGGGAGTGGGAAGTGAGTAGAGGGACCGGACAACCTTGAAGGTATCTAAGTTGACGGGCTGTGAAATAGGGGTGGTAGACTTCCCAACTCACTCGGCGAGGATCATAGCCAAGGGGAAGGTCGCGGGCTAGCACGATCGACCCCCAGTTCTGGCAGAGGGCAGCATCTTCATTATCATTCCAGGCTGATGATGGAAGCTTGGTGGAGCGAGGGTGCTCTCGACGAGGACATAATAAAAATTCATCGTCAGAGAGGACTTCTAGGCCGAAGAGGTATTTGAAGACTTCTTCAGCCTGGTGAGGAAGCGGCGGCCGAGATACCAACTGAAAGCCGAGCGAAGTAGTAGGTTGAAAGGCAGAGACATCCGGCCGAAGTGTGGTAAAATAGACTTGTAGCCAGAGTTGGAAGACCTAGAAGGGACCATTCTAGTTTGGGTTAATTTTTCCAATGGTTGCTTCGATCAGACAACGAAAAAGATTGGCGAGAAAGGCCGAGCTAAGCGCCAGGGTGTGACCACTAGCCAAGGCTTCAGGCACCGACATGTTCTCGACCAAACACTTGTTCGATGTGGTACAACAAATTCATTTGTTGTACCAGTAGAATAGGAAGGCTTCATGTTCTCCCTTCTTAAGACTCTCCTCGCCTCGGCCAACAAAGTGGAGGATAAGGGTGTTGTAGTTAAAGAAGTTCTTGTGTAGCTTATAAACCTCTTCTTTCGAAGGCTCTCGACCATCTCGACTCAATGTTTCGACGGCTCGATCTTCGAAGAGCGTTTTAAGGTCGAGATTCGACAGGTTCCTAAAGAGAGCCGCATCTATCGGGATGCCAGATGGAGGAGTCCCAAGAATAGCCGAGACGTCAAGAATGGTAGGGCCGAGAAGGCCAAAAGGAAGGACCATGGTGTTGGTGGCCGAGCACCAGAAACTCAACGCTGCCATGAGGAGTTCTTTATCCATGGTTAGCTCCATCGTCGAAATCTTGATGGCGTCATAGATACCGAGAGCCTTCCACTCTTGGCTGAAGGAGTTTTCCATTCGGACGACCGAAGCCACCCAGTTGGCGTTGGTCGTGGGCCAGGCTCCTTGGGGCCTCGATAGGTCCCATTTTGACCAATCGAACCCTTGCAGCAAGGGTGTCAGGCAGTGAGCCTTGAAGAGAGTAGTGATTGATGAAGGAACTGCATCCTTAAAAAGTGGCCCCAGGATTTGGTGGGTAGTGCTCAGGTCACCTTCGAAATGCAGAGTTTTGATGGCGTTCCGATCGATGAAGCTCTTGCATTTGCTGCATTCGTCGCTGAGCTTGGAAATGAAGGTCTTGGAACTCATTTTGGAATTTGGAAGAATGCTTGGAGGATTTTTGGGGTAGGAGTTTTTTTTTTTGGGATTTAGAAAGCAAAATGGCTGAGAGTGTCTTTGAAGGTTTCTGGAAACGTGAATGCAAAGAAAAGGAATTCAGTTATTTATAGGTGTTTTAGAAGGAAGATCAAACGTTTGGTATTCAGAAGCGCTAGATTTTTGAATTTGAGGGAAAATCAACTGGGAAATGGCCAATCATTTCGGAGATCTCGGGAATCTTCAAGGGTAGGATCGAGGTTTTCAGGGATTCGGGACGCATGATTGCGTGCAGCAGCGATTTTAATGCATTGATGAGAAAGAAGACGTTTCGACGGGCGCACATTTTCGAGGGCCATGATTAAGAGTTGTGAGGTTTTTTGGAGAATTGACACGTGGCAGGACGTCGGAAGTAACGAAGATCGTGCAATCATATTCCATAAATGCGCATGGTAATGGTTATCGAGAACAGTTAAGTCTGAAGGCAAAAGATGTTTTCGCTTCCTCAAGGTCGAGATCAGACCAAAGGTTGACAGTCGACGACCTCAGAAGCGAGGGGGTAATGTTTGGGCCCAAAGTAATATGGTTGGGCCGAGTGTAGGTTTGTACTCAGCCCAAAGTCGTGTCAAAAATACTATGAGTTGTCTGGTGATTCCAGGCCATTCAACAGGGATGATCGAGTTCTATTACAAGAAGGGGTAGTTCAGATAAGCAAAGGGGTCGAGGAAGTCTTAGTGCAATTAGGATTTTCGACCAACGATGAATAAAGCCCCAAAAGAGGGTGAGTTCAAAGTCCTAATGGGAATAGGGTTGTTCGAAGCATAGTTGGAACGAAACAAGAACTCCCAATCTAGATATGAGTTTAATTTGATTTTAAGAAGGAGTTGGTGCTATAAATACAAGACATCATGCAACAATATGGAAACCTCAATTCAACACACAATTGCCCCACGCAAAACCTCTCAAACAGCTTGAGATTTTTATTTTCTTTTTCTCGCCAACATACCTTCAGTTTGGATAAACAGCACTGTGGAGGCAACCGGCGAACATCTTCAGTTTGGATAAACAGCACTGTTGCCGTAGAATCAGATGACCGAGGAGCACCTTCAGTTTGGATAAACAGCATTGTGTCGAGGCCGACTAGTTACCTATCCAAGTCTCGATCAAGAAGGGTTTTCGAATCCTTTTTGGCAGAGGTCATCTTATTAGCCGTCTCGACGAAGTAAGGTGTTACAAGTTACGACATTCGGCGTACTGGACGCCGAGTGGTTTTATGATTGGATACTCACAAGTGAGTTTCAGAGTTTGACATTCTGACGGCCGAATCACATTCACCATCAAGACATACATCACCATTGAATACTTGTGTCCGTATAGTCTGGTGTCGATTTGACGTGCTTATACTATTACGAATATAATCACTGTGACCAAATCGGGCGTCGACGATTTGTCAACTTCGCAGAACTAGCAGCCTTGTCTTCAAGCTCGAGAATCTAAAGGCCGAGATTTTTTCCTTCCTCAACCACAGTCGCAAGATAAAGAAGTCAGCAAC